AGGTTGGGAATGGGAAGGAACAGCAAACTCTAGTGGCAAAAAAAAAAGATGATCAAAGTCCTCATCAGCATGCACAGGCTCAGACAGCTCAGGAGGAGCCTAGGTAACGTCTGAGGACAAAGGTTCGATCTCTCAATATATAAAAGCAGATAAATCTCCCATCAGGTCACTCACACCTAAGACCTGAAAGAAAACACTGGTCACTGGTGTAACCCCTGAAGTGGTAACGTTAACTTCAAAATTTATTGCACAGAAAAGGTTCACCAAAATTGAGTGCAGAAATAAAAAGACTAGAATTAATTGATAAATACTAATATAGGAAATGGGTTGAATGAAAGCAAATTATGTCAAAAAATAACCACTTCATGTGGAAAGCATTAAGCACAAAAAAAGAGCACGTCCAAACTCAAATGGCTGCCAAATGAGAAATGATCTTTCGGTAGAAGAGTGTAGAGGGAGTCACATGCGTCATGCGAGTGTACTATTCTCCTATTGGTGGTGAAGTGACACATGATGATTTGCATGAAAGACATGTTGGAATACAGCAATTCCAGAAGGGGAGGAGGAGCGGAAGGCTTGTAGCATACGTAAAGAAAGAGTTTGCATATAGAGGGTAGCACTGAATGAGAATAGCTAATCTTGTGAGGGGAAATAAGTACTGTATCAGAAACTTGTTTAAAATTTCATATAAGTACTTATACGGTTTAATTTTTTCAATCAAGTAAAAAAATATGGGACGATAATGTACTACTTAATATTTGCCGTATTTGAAGGACTTAAGTTTGTTGTTTTTTTTCAAAATTTTTATATGAAATATGTCATGTTGATTGGCTTACCAATAGAGATATGAAGACTGAAAATGTAAGCTACAAGTTCTGGAAATCCTAGTTGCAAGTTTGTTTAATTAAAAAATATTTAGAATTACTTCTTACTTTCACATCTGAAATGAATCAATAAAGTGGTTTGCTGGCAATATGGAAAAGCCATCAGGTGCATTTACATGTAACTAATGAGGAGTTTAGGTTTTTAAATGATTTACTGATGAATTTAACAATACAAACTATTTTATAATCTTTTTGTTTATATATTTGCTATTATGCCAAACTAAGCTGAAAATGTGGTCATACATAACTTAGGAGTACACACCCATATTCCATTCATTAAATCTATGGTATAGATATTTCACTTAATTTAGAAAAACATTTCTCTACTTTTGAAAATACAAACAAACCTTCACAAGAGCCTCTACTTGGTGCATCATCATTGGTTTGTTACAAAACTCCACTAGTGGCTTTGGTCGACTTAATGTGAGAGGACGCAGCCTGGTTCCATAACCACCAACTAATATCAGAGCTTTCATATTTCATCTGTTTATCATCAGACAATGACTGCCAGCTTGTAGAAGTAAAAATTACAGAACACAGTAAATACCTTGGAACTACCTATTCTATGAAAAATGAATTTATGTTAATGTTATAATTTGTTGTCTGACGTAAAGAAAACATTAACAGCAAAAAATAATCTTAAAATACTGAGGGCACCGATAACTTAATAAAACTATTAAATTAAGTAGTAAATTCAACCAAAATGATTCTAAGATGTTAAGGATATGCATAACTTAATAAAACTATTAAATTAATTAGCAAATTTGTTCAAAATAATGTTAAGATGCTGAGGAAACTTAATAAAATTATTAAATTAAAATTCAATTTTCAATGAAAATACATAGAAAAACTAATTTTTAAAGGTGCCAGTAAAAAAATTGTGAAATCTAAAAAATAATTTTTTTTTGCTATTTGCTACAATGCTCTCAGCCTTGTGCTCATTCTTTTAAAGTAAAAATCAATATTTCAAATTTGATCTTATCCAAGTTGACCAGTTTAGTACATTACAATACACTTGATAATTAAATGGAGAGAAGAAAATTGCTACAGCCACACACACCAAACAAAAATAGATAAAAATTAAATACATATACAAAAATTTCTATGGAGCCTTCTTTTGGACTGATGCCAGTCCACCAGAGGCACATCACTAATATGCTGAAATAGATGCAGAGAAATAGTTTTTCAGTTCAATGATTTGAAACACCAGGGTAAAAATTTAAAACTTAAATAACTGAATTTGTTATATATGCATAAAATTACAATAATAAAGGGAAAATTACTGTGATTTCCAGTATAGCTAATGGATTATAAGATCTGCTTGAGTGATGTTCATGGTCTTAAGAAAACCATTTGATCTGTGTATTAAAGATAACAGTCTAAAACTGAAAATATTGTATCAGGCTTATTCCTAGGAGAATTACTTCTGAGCTCACTTAAGTTATTAATTTTCTAAATCAGTTTTCTAGTGTATGGTTAATGGAATATGCACTGAAGACAAATACTCAATTCTTACCTACAGGAATATGATACTAATTAAAACAGATGGATTATTAATTTTCTAAATCAGTTTTCTAGTGCATGGTTAATGGAATATGCACTGAAGACAAATACTCAATTCTTACCTACAGGAATATGATACTAATTAAAACAGATGGACTCATCCCACGAGACCACATATATAACTAAGTCATAAAGAATCGATGACGAGGAACCCACTTTGAGACTAATAATGGCTGGACATGGCTTG